AGAGTGCCAAGGTGGCAGATTCATCCCTTGTAGATACAAGTCCAGGATATGGAATGATACCTTTATTCCCAACATGAAGTTTTGAAATAATTAATGACAATGTTTGAGTGTAATTAAAAATCCATGACTAAAAGAGACATCCAGGATGTGTCTCTAGAATGAAACCATCTAGGGTGAAACTGGCATGAACGGGTTCATTTCAGCCACCTTTGTAATGAAGAAGCATAGTCAAGACCGTGACTTTAACAGACAAATACAGAAGAAAATGTGATATTACTGGTTCAAACAATTGGCACAGCAAAAGCAATACTGAGACTGTGATAATGCACTGTCAGGAGAATTTCAGAAGACATAAGAAATGACCCACTGGGTCAGAAGTGTGGTCCATCTAGCCCAGTATTCTGCTAACAGTTCAGAAGAGTTACCCTTTAGGGATAGAACACAAACCTGGCCACTATCTGCAGGCTACCGCCCTCACACTCTCCCAGCATCCACAGTCCTTCTATCTAGGATGTCAGAAATACCCTCTACCTGCTAGCACCTGCTTGTGAAACTGTTTTTCCATCAGTTTATCCATCACCATTTCAACTAGCTAGTACCACCTGTCCCCAGAAGCTCTTAAAAGCAACACATTCCAGTTCACCACTACTGATCGGGGAAAAAAAAAAAAAAAAAGCTCTCAAATTTATATCCTCTCAAGTCCAGCATTTGCACCGTGGTTCTAGCGTTGTACGATTCACAGAGCTGCAATTCTGCATTTATCTTGTCCACTGCCTTAATGATTTTGTAAACCTCAGTCATATCTCCCAGTCTTTAGTAATTCAACAAAATTATCTAGGATACCAGGTATCAACATTTCTAGCAGTATGAGCAATTAGCACTGCATCAATGAAGGAATCTGCTCAGCTACTGCCAAAATACTTCAATCCCTGACAAACAGGACGACCTTATGCTTAAGGAACAAGCAATGCAGCTCTTGGGTCTAGTCACAAGAGCTTCTCTGTTCTGAGATATAGAATCCATGAATCCAGGTTAGGACCTGGAAATTAGAGCTTGTTTGCAAAAAAAAAAAAAAAAAAAAAAAAAGAGTCAAGTCCAAGTCTTGCCTTTGTAAAGATTTCTGAGAATTCATGAGACTGAGAATTAAAAGCATAGTAAGCTCTCATCAGTTAAGGAATATTCAAACAAGGATCCAAAGATCAGGCGCATTCTACATAAACACATTCACTCATCAATATAATCCCAGTCTGCAGAAGAGTTTTGCTTGAATTTCACTATATTGACAAATTTCCAAACTATCCTTTGGGACTGACAGTTGTTCTCATGCACATTTACCAATTCTCCCTACATATATGCTCTTTTATTTCTAGATTAAGAAACTTGAAGTGCATTTCTCCACTGACACTTGAAAGGTCCTCCCAAAAAGTTCAAACATAAGATTATTAGGAAAACCACAACAGACACATCCAGGCCAGTTTGCCTGGAGTATATGACTGAACTGCTGCTGAATGGGAAAATTACAGTCTCGTATTACCTAGGTATGCAAGTCTGTGTGACATAACCAAAAGATAAAGATCTCACCAACGCAGCAAAACTTGCTCTCACCTCCAGCTGTGGTATCAGTTTGATTTGGCACCACTTCATTTATCTTTATGCTGAACAATACTGATCTCTTGAACGGCAGAATTTCTGCAGCAGATGGCATTTAGGAGGAAAATGTGAAAGGTGGAGTCAGGGTGAATGCTGAGTGACCACTGTATTCATTCAAAGGAAAAATGCACCCATTTCAAGAGGAACTCATTTTCGTTACCAACTTATGTTCCAACAGTAGGGAAAATATTATTATCTCCATGCCAGGAACTGACACTGGGCCTCATCTACAAGCTTGCAGAGAAAAGGACCTACAGTATAAAATCATTTTGGGTCTTTATCAGCGGTGTTGGTAAGGTGGATCATGATTTCTGCTAAGTTTTCCTTCTTGAGGAAGCCAATAAGCTAGAGAGGCTACAAGACAGCTTAAGTGGCTGATGGTTATGGAACAATAACATTAGACCCAATAGTCTATGGACCTCATAAGAGAGGGCTAGCAATAGAGCAGTAATTGCATAAAAGTCACATGCCAAAATCCATGATCTGCTACATGACATCTGCAATCACAGTCATGATCCCAGTGAGAGTTTATGTTCAGGATTTGTGAACTCCAGCTATCCTCTCACAGTGGTGAGGCAGTCAGCAACAGCAAAGATCTTACGACGGACCGTGGTACTACAGGTATCTCTATGGAAGCTCTATGATATCAATGAGGGGCAAAGAACAGTTATTCAGCTTCTCACTTCTGGTACCAAGAATCTTGCCAGAACCAGTAGCTGCTCCAAAACATGGAAACATGGTAGAGCTGATCCTCACATCCCCCTCTAACATTCCAAGCGGTACTGTGTTTCTCAGTATTATATAGAGGAATAGTGACTAAATAAACAAATTCAGCAACAATGAATCTATGAGAGAGGTCCTGAAAAAAATTTTGGCAGTCTCCAACAGTATGAACAGTAATTCCAGCTCAAGAAGCTCAGTACTTAACAACCAGGCTGACAGCAATGTAATGCAAATATACCTCTACAGAGTCAGTGGTATGAAATGTTGTGGGTGTGCAGAAGTTCTTGAGATAACTCATTCTTTAACTCTTAGCTCACAAGAAAACATTTTCTTGCCAGTTAGACACTGAGGGGTTCCCACATAAAAAGCTTTAACTGCTTTCTGTAGAATTCCTGCAGTTGTATCCATCACACAGATTCTTAAGCTTTCTGATGCAAGGTCTCTGCTAGCAGTTTACCCAAGAGATGTACCTGCACCTTTGCTCTTTGGTTTTTTGTGCTTGAAGGTATACACAGGAGAGGATTTGCAGTTGGGAACATTTTCCTGGAATGTTAAGAGTCTTCTAGGCAGAGAAAAATCACAGCATCCACTATTTGCTGAACAGCGCTGGTGATTAATCCAGGCAACTTCAAGGACACTACTCCATGTTTAACGAATGATTGATAGAGAAAATTATGTGTGTGTTCAAATACATAGGTGTTTTTCCTAGATACTTCAGAGTTTTCTAACGGAAAGACAAAATTCTGCCAGTGAAACTCTGGAAGACTTAAAGAACGTGCTACTGCCTGTAATCCAAAAAGCAAGAAACTTCTACTCAAGCTACAAGGTTGCTGAGCACTACTGAAACATGGCAACACTCTTCTTTACGTGACATGAGCAAAAGCTGAACCACAACAGCATAGCATATACACTATATACATATTGTACCAATCAATACTGCTGGCAGAAGAAACCTTGTGGTCCACAGTGGATCATGCTTGTAAACAATCACCAGAAAAGTTCATGCTACATAAAATACAGAAGTTTAAGACAAGAAAATCCTATTTCCACCATCACAAAAACCAAGCTTTCACACCTTTTGCTTTCTGATTCCATGTTCTCAATTAGAATTTTTACACCCCACGTCAGCCTAACACATCAATAGAAGAGGAGGAAGCTGGTGGTGTGTATTCTACAAACAAGTGTCCTCATGAAAATTTCTGTACATGTGAAGTCACCAAACTACAGAAAGTAAGAGTTCACCTAACAAAAACCAAATACTACTCAGGCAATTCAGCAGTTAGTTGATATTTAGCTTAGCAATTTTTTACTGGAAGTTCAACATTTATGTTCTAATTTAACATGGAAGAAATTTAAAAAATGAGACAGGCCAAGCAGATATTTTCTTGCGGTGGCTATTTAAAAAGTATGATGGGGAAAGATCCCAGCATACCTACTCTAAAGCTAGGACATAACCCCTGCCCTTATGTAATACCTGGAGGCCAGCTGGCATTGCTGGATTTGCTTCCGATCTTGTTTGTTGGTGGAGATTTGGCAGGTAACCAACTATCACCAGCAGGGCCTGCATGGCCACCTAGTGGGTCGCCCTGAATTATGTCAAACTGGTTGTAGGGCGATCCTCCGCGGGCCTTTCCAGGCGGTACTATTGCACCTGAAGCATGAAAAAGATACATTTACACTCAGGAAAGGTTGGGATCTTCATGAGTACGGAATATTAACATAAAAAAAATATTTAAGATGCATATTGGTGAGGTAAAATATTAACTAACTTGAAGCACAGTTTCATCTGAACTATTTCACCTCTGGCAAGATAATACTGCAAGGGCATTCCCAAAATAACCACTCCCCTTCTCACCATTTTTGTGCATATTGGCATCTTGTGAAGCCACAGAGGGCAGCCCTTCCATCATAGTCCACTGCTTAAAGCGGGATTCTGTTCCAGCCTCCTTCCCTCCCACCATGCCATAATCCATGCCACTTGAGCCAAAGCCTGTGAAACAAACAAACAAAACTCCATTGTCATTCGCTCTTTCTGGTTTAAGTGTCTTCAAACACTGAGTCACTGTGATCATAAGAAAAAAAAAAATCAACAGTAGCAAACAAAATGTTCAAAAAGCAACTTCCAAATAAGCTTGTTAGGTCAGTATGCTACCAAGACACGCTTTCCTATTAGGTTTGTCTTCTTCCTATATAATGAAAAATAATGCAATTTGATCCAAGAGTTGAAACTTGTCATAACCTTCGCTCTAGTGCTTATAGATAAATTACTCATTTCTGGACCCAGACATAACTGGCTAGTATGGTAATGCAATTACCATATCAACACGGTGACTATAGGCAAGGTACCAAATCTCTTTCCACAGAGCACTTACCTGAACCGTATCCAGGTATTTGCCCTTTGGTCTGTAAATCTGAGAGACCCACATTCAAAGGATTGGGTACCATGCTGTCTAAATGTGGCTTAGGCCCAACAGGGTGGGATGGTGAATGCTTCATGCCAGGCTGCCTCTGCTGCTGCTGCTGGAGGGCACTCACCATACGAGCAATCTGCAAATGAAAGAAAAATGGGGAGCACAGAACTCCAGTAAACATGAAGAAATGGTGACTTGAAAGAGATCCAAAGGACCTTGCTCTCTGCAAAGTGCAATCTGAAGAGAGTAGATGACACTAAATCAGCGCCATCTTTGCTGCAGACTGCACTTTCCCATTGTGCTTTGTACTTCATAGGATTGACAAAAGCAGTGCCTCACCTGTTGCTCCTGCTGTTGTCGCATAGCTTGAGATAACTTCCTCTGGCTCTGTAACAGCTGCTG